TCATAGCTCAACTAGCGAGAGAGGATGATACTGTCAAAATACCACACTGGAGATGCTCCCACGATCCTGGCAAGTGTACGTGGTCATAAATTTGGGCATGACCATTGGCTCATTGAGGATACACCATGAGTCGTCGTTGCACCGCGATGGTCGTCATCTGCCAGCACTAGCGCCGCCGAGCATGTCGATCCATGCATGACCATTCGCACTGCTTCCAGACATTACCGTTGTGCACCACCTCTGCAACACCACACAACCGCAATGCCTCACGACTACCCGCTGTAATGGGTCGTCACCACGCACCGCCACACACCATCTCCATGTGATAGACACCCAAACTAGACGCCGAAGAGACAGCGGAGTGGCAGTTCCAGTGCAAGCATCACCCCACCCCGGGTCCCTCTAGCCAGAACCGTCTTTAAAAAAGATGCCCGAAAGAGGACACCACGACACATGTGATGTCATCGTCTCATTCGAGGGCTCGACCTAGGGTTTTCCCCTGGAGTAATAGACGTAAGGAGGAAAGAACTAATTTTTTACACCTCCATCAAGGCAACGACGCCCGTAAGCAGTCTCGCCACCCAAGTCCCCGTCCGGCTGGCCCACCAGAACAACTAGGGAGGCCAACTCCCTCACCGCAGAGAAGGCCCGACCTATTGTCGTAGATCAGGAACCATGGTTGAGGAGCATCATGACGACGCTTGGCATCAGTAAGTCACCGCCAGGAACTAGGAGCGTGTGCTGCCGCACCAAGGAGACTCAGTATGGTCGCTTCACATATCCGCCATTTCGCTGAGAGGAGCCGACTTTAGAGAATACACCGCATCAGTTAAAAGTCTCTCAGGAGCGCACAACCTCCTTTTCCTTATATTTTTCCCTTTTTTGTTTCCTTTTTTGCTTTATTTTTTGAAATAAGTTTATACTTTAAAATATTCTAAGTAGATATTTATATTACAAAAAACATTCTATAAAAAACAATTGGAATATGTGGACCAAGTATTTGAAAAATGTTAAATGTGTATAGAAAAATGTTTATCATGTATAAAATGTTTTATCACGTATCTATTTTTTATCAAGAAATTGAATTTCTTTTAACAAGTATTTGAAATTTTTTGATCAAGCATTTGAAAAATGTTGAATGTGTATAGAAATATGTTGACCATGTATTAAAAAATGATGATTTTTATCATGTATATAAAAATGTTAATCAAGCATCTGAAAAAAAGTTGAACAAGTATTTGAAAAATGTTGATCAAGCATTTGAAAAATATTAAAAAATTATGAAATTTTGTTATCATGTATATAAAAATGTTAATCCAGCATTTAAATATATTGAACAAGTATTTGAAAAATGTTAAATATGTATATAGAAAATGTTTACCATGTATTAAAAAATGTTGAATTTTTTATCATGTATATAAAAATGTTAATAAAGCATTTGAAAAAATTGTTGAGCAAGTATTCAAAAAATTTAGTGAAGCATTCAAAAAATGTTGAATGTGTATAGAAAAATGTTAATATTGCATTTAAAACAATGATAATCGAAGCGTTTGTAATTTTTAAATGTGCATAGAAAAAATATTGACCCTTTATTAAAAAATTAATCTTCTATTTGAAAAATGGTAATCAAGCATTTGAAAATGTTTAAAATATGTATCGATAAAATGTTGACCTTGTACTAAAAAATATTAATCTTGTATTTTAAAAATGTTAATGAAGCATTTGAAAAATGTTAAAATGTGTGTTTAGAAATGTTGACCATGTATTAAAAAGTGTTAAATTTTGATTGAAAAAATGGTCAACGTAAATTAGAAAAATGTTGTTGACATGTACAGAAAATGTAGAACCTAAAACAAAAAGAAACAAAGAAAACCAAAGAAAATAAACAAATTAAACCAACTGAAAAAGAAAAACGAAAAAACTGAAGAAACAAATAAAAAAATAAGAAAACTGGGGAATAAAAAAGAAATCCGAAGAAAACCCACTAGACTTGGTTCAAGTAGGTGGCGCCCCCCATTAGATGACAAGTACAGTTGGCGCGATGGCTATCACCGTTCACTATCTACCTGGAACTCCCCTTTTCATTTTTCTTTTCTTAATTAACTGTGCGTAAAATGGGCCTGCCCGACTAATACTACGGTCTTGATGAGTGCGAGATATAGACGCCGCGGCGGGTACGCCGACGATCTCGCCTTGCGTAGCTACCGCCCGCGTCGCTTTCAACACGTCAGGAATCGTCGTCTCTCTTGCGCACGGGGTGCTGCCCGGTGACCGGTGAGGTCGCCAGCACCTCCACAGCGACCGAGAGCTCGAGCCCGTGCTCCAAAGCTCCCCTTTCGTTCACGCGTTCATTGGCCGGTCAATCGCGCCATGCCATACCGCGTGTCAATTCAAGTACAACCGGGGACGCAAGGACGTGCTACTGGTCTCTAGTGCCGCCTTTAATCTGTTAATCAGTGTAGTAGTAGTAGTACTTTCGTGGCTCCTCCTTTCCCAAGCGATGCAGACCACTTAATCACCTTTTGGCGCTTTCGTACTGGTCGCGGTGGACGTTCAGACGTTCCGCTCCCGGACGGAAGGTATCCTTCTTCTCTTCTTCGCATTATGCTTTGCTTTTTTGTGCATAATGCGAAAAAACGAGCCAAAAGGTGCTCCAACAACGAGTTAACGCGCCCATGGGAGTTCGCACAGCGACTCGTCGAGCTGATCTACATGGAGGGAGAGAAAAATAATGAGTTATGGAGCACGTGGCGTACAAATAAGTAACGAGTTTATTTTAGCGGATATAATTGTACTTGACGGTTCTCATGGGTAGTTTTATAACACGCGGCCGCAAACGGACCGTCGTCCGTTTTGTGTCCACTTTCGATCCATTCTCAGTCTAAGTTTGAGCCTATTTGCGGCTGAGGGACAGCGCGTGGGCGAGCGGGACGCGCGCCCTTGTCCTCCCCTGATTCGCCCGGCGGTGGCACAACCGGCCAATTTCCCTTCTTTTTCTCCAAAGCCTCCCGCGCCCCCGGCCTTCCCTTCTCTTCGTCCGTCATGGCCGACGACGCGAAATCCCAGCGACCCATCACCTACCGCGAACAAGCCTGTGGCGAAGAAGCTGCGGCCGGAGCTCTCGCCAGCATCCGCCGCCAAGCTCGACAGGGAATCGACGAAGAGGAGGGACCGACGAGCCGTTGAAAAGGAGAAGAAGGCCGTCGCACAGTACGCATCCGAGTGTACCCTGCGGCGTGCGATGCAACACCAGGCCGAGATTGACGACAAGGAGACCATCGTCTACAAGGCACACGCCCACCTCACGATAGGTGGGATGGCCCGCCCCATGCCAGCCATTCTCTCTGCCGCTGCCATGGCCGCGGCCAGCACAGGCTCGTCGGTCCCATCGACCGCCGCAACACCGTTCCCCTAGCCCATCCGTCTCACACGGCACGCCGAATTTTTGTGCTCCGCCAACATATGACCATGGCCAGACGCGATTCTCTACATCGTCGGACTGCGTGGTGGTCGACTCAACTACGCCCGCTGGCGTCATCGACCTCAACATCACGCCATTGTGAAGACCGCGACGACATGATCTAGGTGAGACGACGGCCGCGATGGCAGTCCTTTTTGAAGGCTGGCTCCTATGCCGTCCGATGGCTTTGTTGTCGGCAAGAAAACTTATCTCTTTTGAAGGCTGGCTACTGTGCCGGCAGCTGGCCTTGTTGCCAACGACAAAACTTGTCCATTATGAAGGCTGGCTCCTGTGCTGGCCGCTGGCTTTGTTGCCGGCGTGAAACGTGTCTTTTTGAAGGCTGGCTCCTGTGCCAACCGCTGGTTTTGTTGCCGGCGTCAGATTGTAGGCCGCCGATTGTGTTGCCAGCCGACGTGAAATAGCGCGAACCGTGATCGCGGCTTAGATCCTTTGTTTCACATTTGCATGCACGAGGACAAGATGCGGCCGAAATGCGGCCGTGTGTAGGGCGCATGGCTGACGCATCCACGAATCCAGACAAACACGGCCTCATTCCCACTCTCAAATGGACAAAATTCAAATAAAACGAACGTTTGTTTGGAGCCGCACGATGGAGTTGGCCTGATTTCACGGTGTGATGATAGGCCAGCGCAGAAACATCCAAGGACTTGGACTCGGGCGACTCGGAGCCGACACCATGGGGGCATGCAAAAATGCTCCTGTGGGTACGTACTAGTACGTGGTAGTATGATTCGTTGTGTATATGACGCGGTAGAAGCCAAAACGGCACGAGGTGTGCAGACGCTGCCTCCAATTCCGGACGCGGCAATTCCCCTCACTTTCACGACGAAGACAGCCAAAACCGTCAAAATCAGGGGAACCGGGGGACGGGGCACCCCCTGCCGACCGCCGCGGCACCTACCCGATCCCTGCCCCCCACCCCAAGCCCCGCCGCGCCGTGGGGCCACGAGCCGCCCGGCCCAGCCCACCGGCAGGCAGCGCGGCGTGGTGCGGCCCGCTCGCCCTGCACGCGTCCTGCCGGCCTCACGTGCGTGGGCGACCCCGTACGTACGCGGCCGTCGTCGCACGTGTCGCGCGCTGAACTCTTCGCCCCCACCGCGCTACCGGTTCGTCCCGCCCGTCCCTAACGAGATGCGGCCCGCGTCCCCCGCCGGATGCCCATCGGACGGCCGGGCGCTCGCGGCATCCGCCACGTACCTTTCCGACGGTGGGTGGTGTAGCGGGGCCGTCTGATTCCCGATCCGACGGTGGCGGTGCTCGTACCAGCCAAAGAAGCGGCAGAAAAGTAGTGACGGAAGGGCCATTGGCTGATTATCTTAAATATAATAATTAGCGCGATTAATTTAAGCAGCCCACCCGATCCCCCCTCGCTTATTTCATCGGCTCGTCTCCTCCCCGAGAACGCAACGCACCCAATTCTTCCTCCTCCATTCCATCCCCCAGCCCAGCTCTCTCTCCCTCGCCTCCGAGGTTCTCTGCCCGCCGCGGCATTTGCGTCCGGTAGAGCACGGCGGAGGGGATGGACTCGGACGCCTCCGTGTCCCCGCGGCGGCGGAGCTGCTACAGCGACAGCGGCGACTCCTCCTGCTCCGAGCCCTTCAGCGAGTGCGGCAGCGACGACCTCTCCTTCACGCCCGCCGCCGCCGCGGGCATCCACCGCCTGCTGCTCTCCTGCGCGGCCGAGGCCTCCGACGGCTCCATCTCCTCGCTCGTCGCCGAGCTTGAGTCGCCCTCGGCCTCGGTCGACTCGCTCCGCCGCGCCGCCATGGAGCTGCGGCTGCTCGCCAAGCACAACCCGGACAACCGCATCCGCATCGCGGCGTCCGGGGCGGTGCGGCCGCTCGTGGCCCTGCTGTCGCACGCCGACCCGCTGCTGCAGGAGCACGGGGTGACGGCGCTGCTCAACCTCTCCATCTGCGACGAGAACAAGGCCCTCATGGTCGAGGCCGGCGCGATACGGCCGCTGGTGCGCGCGCTCAAGTCGGCCGCGTCGCCCGCGGCCAGGGAGAACGCCGCGTGCGCGCTGCTCCGCCTCTCCCAGCTCGACGGCGCCGCGGCGGCCGCCGTCGGCCGCGCGGGCGCCGTCCCGCTGCTGGTGTCCCTGCTCGAGACCGGCGGCGCGCGCGGGAAGAAGGACGCCGCCACGGCGCTCTACGCGCTCTGCAGCGGCGCGCGCGAGAACCGCCTGCGCGCAGTCGAGGCCGGCGCCGTGCGCCCGCTGCTGGACCTCATGTCGGACCCGGAGTCCGGCATGGTGGACAAGGCCGCCTACGTGCTCCACTCCCTGGTGGGCTTCGCCGAGGGCCGCTCCGCCACCGTGGAGGAGGGCGGCATCCCCGTGCTGGTGGAGATGGTGGAGGTCGGCACCTCGCGGCAGAAGGAGATCGCCACGCTCTCCCTCCTCCAGATCTGCGACGACAACGCGGCGTACCGCACCATGGTCGCCCGCGAGGGCGCCATCCCTCCCCTCGTCGCCCTCTCCCAGTCCTCCTCCGCGCGCCCCAAGCTCAAAACCAAGGTACCAATCGTTCGAAGCACAATCGTTTCGGCCATTACAATCACAAACAGAATTTACAGCTTCCGATGTACGGAGTACTAATTTGTTTTGCGATTCCGTAGGCTGAGGCGCTGGTCGAGATGCTACGGCAACCGCGGAGCGCGAGCCTGCGCGCAACCAGGCCGGCGGCGATCGTTGCGGCGGAGTGATGATACCGTTCGGCTACCAATTCCACCTTGGCCATGCATGCCAGGTGGCGTGCGTGCGTGCGTTTTCCCCTTTCCCCGTGGCGAGAGCGAGACGAGCTGGGCTGGGCAGCCGGCCGGCGTGCCTGCCTGCCCGCCCGTGTAAATAGCCGAGCCAGCAGCGAGTTTGCGTCCGCGAGCGAGTGTACATTTCCCTCAACCTCAAGCGAGATGACGACCATGGTCCGTGGCGGAGCCAAGCCTCCCTGTAAATTCATTCTCCCCACTGTTCTTCTTCTTCTTCTTCTTCCTTTTTTCACTTTTATTAGTTTCTAGTACCATTTTGGGTTGCTTCCTGGATCAAGGAAGCGAGCCAAATTCGCGTGTGGTGAAACAGCGAGCTGTGCTGTTGGAGTGAGCGTGTTCTGGACTTGGTTTCTTCTGGTGGATACGATAGAAAGATTGTGTGATCTCTAGAAGAAAGAAAAAAAAATCACCGGTTGGTTTGAACTGCAATCCAATCCACGACGGCCGTGCTGTTACATTCAGGTTCTAGCGGTGTTATCACTCCATCTATCTCATCCCAGGTTCCTGCGGCAGGAGCGGGGCGTGGCTCGTGAGCCGTGGGTGAGCGAGCGAGTGACTTGCTAAATCAGCAACGTTTTGCTGGTTCAACCGAGGACGACAGGTCGGAATTTTCTAGTGGTCGCGCTGCCGTCTGCTCGCTGGGTCAGTCGATCGGTCGTTGCCGCCAAAGGCTGGCTTCTTCTGCCGCTGCTTGTGGCCTAGAAGAAGATGCAGCACGGAATGGCCCCGCAGCAGCGGTAAAGCTGAAAAGAAAGATCTCGCGCTCGCGCCCGGTAGGTTGGTTGATTATTCGTCCCCTGTAGCTGAAAAGGACGCTGCTCTTCGGCTGAATCTGGCCACCGCCGGTAGTTCTCGGGCCCGGGGCCCTCCGACGAGGCATGGAGCTCGTGCCCATCCTCCCACACGACGCCGATATCTTCGAGTGTGGGAAACGGATAGCGGGACACGTCATCCGTCGTTGTGTCGAATGGCACTTGTCGCCACCTCTCAGCAAGGAGTAGGTGATTGGCTGGATCCTACGCCCTTTTGGGACGATGACGTCGTGTCATGGCATGGCAACGTCTCTTTACCGCAACGTGTATTTTCCCTTCTTCTTTTTCTCTCCAACCACACGGCCTTATCTCTGCGCGGTGCCGAGAAAATCTCGGCTATAAAGCTATGGTACGCCTTTCGCGTATACTCGAAAAAAGAAAATCTTGGCTGTGTATTTCAAAATTGAGAAAGATGGTTGCCAGATAGTGGAACATGCTGATGTAGTTGGCGGGGGTCATTGGTTAGATAGTGCTGTTACGAGTACGCACTACGACGGCTAAGAAATTACATTGACCCGACTAATCTTTAGCTCCACGACTCTTTCAGAGACATAAGTATGATGACTGCATGCTCCCTCGGCATGTTTGACTATTACTATTCTTATTCTTATGTTTTTCAAGTTCCGTTCTACTCTACAACAAGAAACAGGGTTTTGACCCTTGCACAAGAATCTAGCGGCAACGAAATATCGAGCAGGTATGAGATGACCAAAAATGCATATAGCATTCTTTGTTTGTTTTTGGGTGGTAAGGAAATTTATTGATCAAGCAATGTGGTTACAATCGCCGTTCACAACACCGGCTATTTCCTCGGGGTACACCCAGTACAAAAACTTGCCACTGGAAAAGAACCACAACACACTTTTTACCGTGTAAATTTGCGGCTTGTGGGCAATACATGTTAAACATGTATCTGTGTAAATTGTAAGGTTGAGTAGTGTAAACTTAGTCCACTCCTTGATTATAGGATCTAGCAAGGCTCGTGGCATGCGTGCCACATTTTCAGGAGCTCTTGCTCTCTCCCTGAGGGGATATATATATCTCTGTAACTTGATGGTTCAGTCAATATACATAAAATCATCTCTCCAACTTTGTATAGCGCACCATGGCCTCCTCTTCCTCCACCGCCGAAGCTACGAGCTCCGCCACCTCCCCCGGCGACCTCTCCTTCTCTTCGACGGCGCCTGCTGCGGCTCCCTCCTCTGCTTCCTCCCCGCCGTTCGTCTTCGGCACTTCCCCCGCCGCGGGCACCCAGTTTGCCCCTCTGTTCAACACCACCGTCCCCCCTGCTCCTCCGGCGCCTGCTCCCCGCCACCCCATCTTCCTCGATCACATCACAAACCACATCAAGTTCCTCCTCAACCCCGACGACCACAACTATCACAAATGGAAAACCTTCTTCATCTTGGTTCTCGTCCGCTACGGCGTCTCCTACCTCATCGAACACCCGCCCCCACCCAATGCTTCCGCCACCTACCTTGAGCTTGATGCCCATGTCGTTCTGTGGATCTACGCCACCCTCTCGGACACCATGTGTGATCACGTCGTCGGCGCCACCACCACTTTTGCCCTCTGGACCAAGATCCGCGACTACTTTCTTGCCAATCGCGCCGCTCGCTTCATGATCCTCAACCGCAAGTATCGCAACCTCAAGCAGGGCGATCTGTCTATCTCCGAGTACGCCCGCCGGATGAAACTCCTCACTGACGCTCTTGCCGACATCGACCGCGCCGTCATCGAGGTGGACCTCACCACGCAGTTCCTCCATGGCCTCGACAAGCGGCTCGACACGATCCGGGTCGTCCTTGGTGATCAGGACCTGCCCTTCGACACCGTCCTCTCCCGGGTCGTCCTCGCCGAGGAATCCCAGGAGCATCGCGCGGCTGAAGAGAGCGCCTCCGTGTTCGCCCTGTCGAGTGACGGCGCCTCTGGTTCCAGCTCCACCTCGGGTGGTCGCGCCCCGGATCATGCGGATCGCGCTCCTACTGGCGCCCCGGTCGCTCCTCCACAGTCGCACCCGCACCTCGGCCGTGGCCGAGGTGACCGCGATGGTGGTGACTGCGGTGGACGTGGCCGTGGTCGTGGGCGTGGCGACAACACTGGACGTGGCCACGCCGCTCCTCCCTTTGCGTCGCCCTTCACCGGCTACTTCGCGCCCTTCGGGATGGCGCTCCCCTCCCCGCGCTCCGGCTGGATCCCGCCCAATGCGGTCGACGTCCTTGGCCCGCGCCCCGGATCCCATGCGCAGGCTTACCCGCTCCTGCCCGCCCCGCCGGCGACTCATGCGTCGTTCCACCAGCATCCTCCTTCCTCCCGAGAACACGCGGCCATGCTCAACGCCGCCTACAGCAACGACGGCTTCCCGTCCGCTCCTGCGCCCGAGTGGTACTTCGACAGTGGCGCTTCCTCTCTTGTGACCGGCAACCAAGGTAACCTCACCCGGTCTAGTTATTCTTTAAAGCATGTTCCCTCTAGCATTTTGGTTGGCAATGGGCACCACTTACCCGTCACGGCCACTGGCTCTACCTCCCTCCCTCCCAATAATTTTCGCCTCACCGATGTCCTAGTTTCTCCTCATGTTGTCACTAGCTTAATTTCCGTTCATCGTTTTACTAAGGACAATTCTTGCTCAGTTAAATTTTACCCTTGCAGTTTTCTTGTGAAGGATCTTTGCACTCGGAGAGTTCTCATGATCTCCGTTAGCAACGGTGATCTCTACCCCTTCTACGGTAGTAACCATGCACCACCGGCGGCGTTCACTGTCTCCACGATGGATCTGTGGCATCGTCGACTTGGGCACCCCGGCGCACACACTCTGTCTACCATCGCCAATGATTTCCTTAGCTCATGTAATAAACGTGCCCACACTCCATGTACTGCTTGTCAACTAGGACGCCAAGCGCGTCTCCCATTTTCCTCCTCTTTTAGCAAAACATATGCCCCCTTTGATTTAATACATTGTGACTTGTGGACATCTCCCGTTGTAAGCTTCTCCGGATTTCAATATGATCTTGTTGTGCTAGATGATTTCACTCACTACTCTTGGACGTTTCCCTTGCGCAACAAGTCGGACACCTCCTCCACGCTACAACGCTTTTTCACATTTATCCACACCCAATACAATGTCATTATCAAAGCCATGCAATGCGATAATGGAGGGGAGTTTATCAACTCATCCCTTCGCTCCTTCTTCTCTGCCAACGACATCGTTTATCGCTTCTCCTGCCCCCCACATCTCCCCAAAACGGCAAAGCGGAGCGTCTCATTCGCACTACCAACGACGTAGTTCGCTCCCTTCTCATCCAAGCCAACCTTACTCCCCCTTTCTGGGTCGAAGCTTTACACACTGCCACCTACCTTCTCAATCGCCGCCCCTCTCGAGCCATCGCTGACAACACACCATACTTTCTCCTACACGGCGCTCATCCATCCTATGACCATCTACGCGTGTTTGGCTGCTTGTGTTTTCCCAACACATCCGCAACTATGCCTCACAAACTTTCCCCTCGCTCGACTCGCTGCGTTTTCTTAGGGTACCCCCTCGAACACAAGGGGTACATGTGCTATGATTTATCCACTCGCCGCGTTATTGTCTCTCGGCATGTCACTTTTGACGAAAACTCATTTCCGTATACACAGCACCAGCTACACAGTCCAACCCCGCACCAGATCCGCCCACCTGCACGCGCTACCCACCCAATCTCTCGGATCTGCCGCCCCCGCCTACCGCGTACTGGCCCCACGCCCCACCATCCCCGCCTTCCCACCAATCGCGCAGCCCCGCACCCACCTGCCGCCAACCACATGCCGACCCCACCTCCACTCCCCGCGTCGCGGAGCAAACCCCTTTGTCCGGATCCACCTCGCCAGCTGTGCCCCCGTCCCCATCAACCACTCACGCCGCATCCACCCCGCGCTCCGCGCCTGTCAGCCCTGACTCAGCTGTCGCCCAGTCTTCCGCGCCTGTCGCCTGCCCCACCGAATCCTCCTCGGGATCTGAGGCATGCACACCCTCTCCCCCTCTGCCACGTCTCCCTCGCCATGCACAACCAGCAAACCCCCCACGTAATTCCCACAAAATGACTACTCGAGCCAAACACGGCTATTGCATGCCGCGCCGTCTCT